TAAACAGTAAAATAACAAGAACACAACAAACAACTAGAGTACTTATTCTCTGGCAGATGCTTTACATAGAACTCTTCATCCTGGCAGCAACCCTGTGACATAGATAGTATTGTTATCCCCACTTTGTAATGGAAAACTGAGGCACAGAGGGTAACCAACATCTAGTAAATGGTAGAGCTGGGATTTGAATTCACGTAATCAGGCTCCAGAGCCTCTGATTGTGACAAATGCTCTGAAGACATGAGAACAGTCTGGTTGATTGGTTCTTTTTATCCTCTTACCCTATACCTTGTCCCCTGCCGGCATAGTCAACCGTTCATTCTCACATGGCGGTATCCAGCTTTCTAGTCATTGCCAGTATATTAGGGGCGAAGTAATATCTCATTGCTGTTTTAATTTTAACTTGCATGTTTCAATTTAAATTGAAACATGCAAATTAAGCATGTTTCATGTGCTTGTTAGCTTTTTGGATTCCCTCTTCCATAAATTGCCTGTTCATATTTTCTAATAGGGCTGATGTCTTATTCTTGTTGATACACAATAATTCCTTGTAGGTTCTAGATGTCTGTCCCTTGTCCATCCTTGACATTGCAAAAATCTCCCATTCTACCATCTGTATTAACTGTGCCATGGTGTTCTTTGTTCTTATTTTCATATGATCAAATTCATCTCTCCCTTTTTTGCTTTAGAATTTGTTTTTGAAATTGTTTTAAAAAAATCCTTTCCTATCCTTAGACTCTAACAATATTCTCTTATACTCTCTTCTAGTAAAATCATAGTTTATCTCATAGTAAATCTTTCACATTTAGATCACTAATCCACCTTTGAATGTGGTGTTAGCTAAGGTTCTAGTTCCCACTCCCCACCTCTGTATATTGACCCTTTCCCCAACACCATCTACTAAAGAACCCGTCCCTTCCCCGTGGAATGAAGTTCCCATACATACCTAGTTCTACCCCTGAGCACTGTGTTCTGTTCCACTGGGCAACTTATCAGTTCTTCACCAGTAAGACACTATTTCTATATCATGGCATATTCAAAAGCAGGAGAAGGGCTATTTACAAAGGTGTAGGGCAGGCAGACCACAAAGGATAGTACATGCCCCCCAGGCTAGTAACAGTGGGGAGAAGGGTCATTACCACCCATAGGCCTGGCAGGGGTAAAGGCTGACCCTACAGGAAGGAGAGGGTAAGGGAGAGCAGTCCATACAGGCAATACAACCTCATACCTTGAGCCCCCACGTTAGGAGACCCCAGAATTCCCTGCTCAGCGTGGGCCTCCATTTGTGCTAATGCCTAGGTCCCCACAAATATTAGGGGCAGGCCTGCATCCAGGCCAGCCTCCTGGAGCCCAGGGTAGGGTGGGAAATGGTAGAGCGATGTGAGAGGCCAATGGGGATGCCCAGCCCATCACACATCTTGTCTGGAGAGCAAACCCTGAGGGGCTGCTTTGACAGGATTGGCAGAAGAGGCTTCTGGGAGGAGGTGATTTCTGGGCTGTGACTGTCTGCTCCACCCCCCCACCATCTCCGCTTCCCAGATGGTGCTTCAAGAGGCAGCTTGTGGACTTGGTGATGGAGGGGGTGTGGCAGGAGCTGCTGGACAGTGACCAGATTGAGATCTGTGTGGCCGACTGGTGAGTGAAGAATGGCAACTGTCCCCAGAACCATGGGTGATGGCAGCAGTTCTGCAGAGGAGGCTCATTTCATGCCTCCATCGATTCCATGGGCTGGCCACTGCTTCTGCGCCCGCTTCATAGTGAGGCTGAGAGGGGAAGCAATGTTCTCACAGTTGCAGGGCCAGGGAGGGCAGAGCCTCGGGGAGCCCAGAGCCCCCAGTCTGCACTCCTCCCCATCCTCTTCCCAGAGGGTCACTGACTGGCTTGGCTTGGTCTGAAATAAGGTATCTCCTGTCATCCACTCCACCCCCATTACCTGCAACTCCACCCTGACCCTAAGGGCTTGTGGTCACCAAGGCCTCAGAAAGTTTGGGAGCATTGTGCCCTGAAAACGGAGGCTCAGAAGGGACAGAGTTGGGCCAGAGGCACTGGCTGGTTCAGAGCCTGTGGGGACTATGTCGAGCCCCTCCTTTCCAGAGAGCTCCCAGGTTCCTTCACAAAGCTCTGACTCTTCCTTCCAGCTCTGCTCCTCTGCAAAAAGTCCAATTTCTTCCCTGAGATTCTGACTCCTCCCCAGAGCATCCAAATTCCTGCTCTCTCAGGCTCCTCTCCAGAACTGCTGGGTCTCCTCCTCCCTCAAGTTGTGGTTTCTCCTGAGCACCATACTCGCCCCCCCACACCTGACCCCAAGTCTCCAGTACCCACCCCAGGAACACCCAAGCTCCTCCCCTAGGCTCTGGCTCCTCCCCAGGCTCTGGCCCCACCCTTGGAGTACCCTCTGGGAACCCCAAACTGACAGCTCTAGGTATGGGGTATGGGTGTGTGCCACCCAGATCAAAGTGCAGGGAGCCCAGCCCTCAGCCTCCCTCCTCCCAACTGAAAGATTGGGTGGGTCGTGGGGGCATCAAGGCTCACCCCCACCTGGCAGGTGGGGTGCCCGAGAGAACTGCGGCTGCATCTACCGGCTCCGGGTCCGCCTTCTGGACGTGTACGAAAATGAAGTGGTCAAGTTCTCGGCCTCACCCAACCCGGTCCTTCAGTGGACTGAGAGAGGCTGCCGACAGGTGGGTCCAGGCGCACCTAACCTCTCGCTCTGCTCTGATTCCCTTCTCCGCTTGCCTCACGGCTGGTTATCTATAATAGTAATAGCTAACAATTCTTGGGCCCTGTCCCAAGAGTTTTCCCTATTAACTCTTTAGTACAGTAACTTAGTTGTTCAACATACATTTATTGAGCACCTATTGTGTGCTGGGCACAGCTCTAAGTGCTGGGAATGCAGTGAGCAACCAAAATTCTTGCTCTATCCCCATTCTAGAGGTGAGGAAACTGAGGCACTGGAGGTCATGTGACTGGTCCAAAGTCACACTAAAGTGTGCAGGGTCTGATTCAAGCCCAGAATGGTACTCAAACCTGCGCTGTCAATATCATCACACGTCAGTCATCAAAGTAACCTTTCAGGTGGTCTTGTTTCCATTTCTGATCTCCCACCACCCAACACACTCACCATCGAGAAAGATCCCATTACAAAGTGAGTTAGATCACAGCCTCCCCTGCTTGTGACCCTCCCATGACTGTATCTCAGAGCAAAAGCCAAAGTCCTATCATGCAGCTATTAAAGGAAATGAGTACAGATCCACGATACAATGTGGCTGAATCTTGGAAACAGTGTATTAAGTGAAAGCAGTTAAGCATAAAAGGCCACATATTGTATGACTACATTTATATGAAATGTCCAGAATAAGCAAAGCCAGAGACAGAAAGCAGATAGGTTGCCAGGAGCTAGGGGGAGGAAGGAATTGGAAGTAATGGCTAATGGATATGATGAGGGTTTTTTCCCTGGGGTGAGGGAATGTTCCAGAACTAGATAGTGGTGATGGTTGCATAACATTGTGAATGTACTAAAAACCACTGAATTGTACAGTTTAAAATGGTTCGTTTTATCTTAGGTGAATTTTAGGTCAACTTAAAAATTCCAAGAGATTAAAAACCAGAAGCCAAAGCCCTTCTGTGGCCCAGAGGCCCCACACCATCTGCTGATTACCTCCTTGACCCATTTCCTACTTCTCCCTTCACTGTGCTTGCTCATCACACTCCTACCTCAGGGCCTTTGCACTGACCGGTCCTCTGTCTAGAACACTCTTCCTCCAGATCCCCACATGGCTCTCTCCCCTCCTTCAGCTGTCTGCTCAAATGTCACTTCAGCTTACTCACTTTACAAGCCCACCCTCCTGCAGAATTCCCTCTGCCCCTTACCCCCACCTATCTTCAGTGTCTGGGTCCCCTACTAGATGGTCAACTCCACCTGGGCAGGGTCTTTGTGTCACTTTCCTCAGTACTGTATCCCCAGTGCCTAGAGCACGGCCTGGCACCTACTTGATTTGGGGGAGTATCTGTCCAGTTGGTGGAGAAGAGGAGCCCATAGGTCCTCACTCTCTTGCTCTCCTTCCCCATGCAGGTCTCCCACGTCTTCACCAACTTTGGCAAGGGCATCCGATATGTGTCTTTTGAGCAGTATGGGAGAGACACACGCTCCTGGGTGGGGCACTACGGCGCGCTTGTGACCCACTCCAGTGTGAGGGTGAGGATCCGCCTATCGTAGCCCATCAGCCTGATCAGGCCTTCCAGGACCTACTACCACCTGCCAGACATCATTGCCAATCAAGGGCAACTTTGTAGCCAGGAGCCAGAGGATGCCCAGGGACAGCTGGGAGTCTTGTGTGGCTTGTTCCCCACCAGCTTCCAGCAAACTCCATGTGCTGCTGCTTCTGCATCGTGGCCCATGTGCTGCTCGAGAAACCAGGGATCCAACCCGGCTGTTCACAGCTTCCCGAGTCAGGGGGTTCAAGGAATAACTGAGACGTTTACTTTGCTTGCAAATCCTTTTCTCATGTGTGGATGTCAGCTGATAGATTGAGTCAAAAAACAAAGGCCAAGACAGGGTTGCTTATGGGGAAAAGCTGCTGACAATCTGGGACAGTGTCTCTTGTCCTGTTTTCGGGCTAAGCTGATTGCTAGCAGGGAGCAGAGGCCAGTCAGAAAAGCCTGCCCTTTAGGGGACCACCAGGGGCATCGAAAGGAACCATTTCTGTTTTGGGGAGTCTCTGGGACTCAGCTGTGGGGCCCGTGCAACCTCCTCCAGCACTGCCCCTCAGCACCTCCCCTTTGGGCCAGACTGGCACTGTTTCTTGCAGAATCTGAGACCTCAGGGGAAGCTTGGCTCCTGTAAGGCAACACCCTCTTCTCCACTCAGCCCACTTGCATACAAACTCCATGATCAAGGTGTGCCACGAGGGAAAGCTCTCCTGTCCCAACTCCCCTCATGTCTCCTACTCTCCCCAGGTGGGCACAGCCACCAAACTAGCTCAATAAAATTGGTGCTAAACATGAGGTGGTGGTGGTGGACTTGTCTGTAATCAATGCACTTATCTGCCCCCCGCTGGTCCTAAAAGGCTTTGTGGAATGTTCTCAATTGTGAGAACTTTAGGTGTGCTAAGCACTGCAGAAAACAGAGGCAGGATACACGGCTGCACCGAACAGCTCTTGGGCAGGCACCATTATCAATGCCATTTAGTCCAGGAGGAAACTGGCTCAGAGTTTAACGACCTGCCCAAGGTCACCTGGCCAGTAAGTAAGGGAGGCAGAACTAGCATCCGAGTCAGGCTCCAGAGGCCAAGGATATAAGCACAACTCCTAATCTTCAAATCTAACGTGGCCAAGCATATGATCAGGTGTGGGCAGTATTACTTTCAGGACCATTTTACCAAGGGACAAAACAGGCCCAGGGGTGTGTGGGGGGACAAATAAACCCAGTCACAGAACAACTAAGGTAGAGGTGGGATTTGAACCCAGGTGTGTGATTCTGAGAATAACACAGAAGAGAAGCTCCCATGTAGGCAGCAACACCAACCCCCCACCCTGAATCGCCACAATTACATTTACTGCCATTTTCAGGAGGAAGCTTGAGGGCGGGCCTTTCCCTGCCCAGGCACCAGGCCTGCAGGATGGGGAACTGGGTCTTGGTGCTACCACCATACTCCAAACCTTAAAACAGAGTAGCCATTCGCATATGTTTCACAGTGACTGATCTTCATCAAACCAAAGAAAGGGGGTGCCGTTAATAGAGGAAACAGACTCAGAGGGCATGTGAGTTGCCAAGACCACACAGAGGGTGAACACCAGGCAAGATGTACAGTCGAACCGCAGGGCCTGTGTTTATTGCTACCCCTTCCCATCAGAGGGCAGTGGTACTGTCCCAGAAGAAGCCTCTTGCACCAACACTCTACGTGGACACCAAGGGTGTCGGCAGAGGGGGCCCTTTTCTAATTCACACTCGGGACCCCTATGGGCTACTGGTGGTTCTGATGGAAGAGGTGGAGCCAGGATTTGAACCAGGACCAGCTGCTTCTAGAGGTGGCCTAGCTTCCCAAGGATATTGCAGGAACCCAGAGACAAAGGTTCTCACTCTGCGGGAACCCCAGCACACTGTGCCCCTGGTGGTCACTTCTTCTTCTGCACATGGCCACAGTCGTACTTGCCACGCACAACCTTGAGCTTGACGCCGGGCAGGTCCTGGGTGCGTCCGCCCTGCACAAGCACCACGTGGTGCTCCTGCAAGCTGTGGCCCTCCCCCGGGATAAAGCAGACGGCCTCGCGGCCCGTGCTGAGCCGCACGCGGCAGCACTTGCGGTTCGCCGAGTTGGGCTTCTTGGGTTTACGAATAAACGTTCGCAGAACCACACCCTTCAGCTGCGGCCGGCCTTCCGTGGGGCCCAGACGTGGAGGCGGCCGCTTTCGAGGCCCCAGGCGGTGCATCTGATTCAGGGTGGCCATGGGGCGGGTGGCCCAGAGCCGGGGGACCAGGGTTAGGCCTGGAAAGACACAACCCAGGAGGGCAGAGGTGGGTTCTTATCCCAATGAACAGATAACAGTACCAGCAACTCAATTCTGGTGTTCGAGGCACTGTTCTAAGCCCTTTACAAGATGTCTGTTTACATCCCGGGGTACTCACAGATAACAATAATAACTAACAGATTCTACTTTAAGCATTTTACATGAATTAACTCATTTTAATGCTGTTTAAACAGAATAATGACAACAAACAGGCAGAGGCAAAGAAGTCCCAGAGGAGGTAACCCTCACCCAGCCTCGTCTCTGCAGCCCAAGACCCCCACTTACCATAACTTAGGGACATGTTGAGGCCACGGAGAAGGCTGGACCAGGACATCCTGCCGCCTGCAGCGTCCCTGTGTTAGAGGATAAGAGACTCAGAAACGAGGAGGGAAAAGTGGCCGTAGTCGTGCTGGGATCCAAATTCTCCCCTTCCCGCTCTCAGGATCTTCTGGTTAAAATCTAAGGAATTTCCTCTGACGCCTCGCTCTGGGTAGGCTCTCGGGGACCGAACCAACCCCGCCCGCATACTGAAGTAAAGGGGAAACTAAGGAGAGAACCGGGGAGGTTTGGGGGACCCCAGGATTCCAACGACCTCACCGACCCTAGTAGGGCCCGCAGACACGCTGAATCCGGCCTCTAGCCACTTCCGGAGGTTAGCCCAGCAGGGATTGGCTGGTTCTGCCACTCACGTACACCAAAGGGGCGTGGAAAAGGCTGCGATTGGACAACGACAGAGTCAATCTTGGTCAACGTCCCTCATTGAACGGTTTTTTGAGATACGGGAGCGACTCATTTCTTCCTGGGTCTGAGTGGCTTGTCCGGAGCAGGACGGCTGCTTTGCAATTGGTCTAAACGCGAAGTGGGCGGGACGAAGGGCTGTGTCTCCTTGTCTCCCAGCCAAGATGGCTGCGGCCGTAGCGCGCCGCTTGTGGCCTTTAGCGGCCTTCCGAGGGCTCCGGCCCCGGGGACATTGCGTCTGCAACCAGAGCCCAAGAAGTTTCGCATCCGAGAAACGGGACCGGAACCTCCTGTACGAGCACGCACGCGAGGGCTACAGCGCGCTCCCTCAACTGGACGTGGAGTTGCTGTGTACATGCCCGGAAGAAACCGCGCGTACCCTGGAGCACCGCAAGGGGGAGCTGCGGCCGGACGACCTCCCGGCGATCGTGAGTGCGCTTGCGCGGGCCAGCCGACTGGGTGCTCGACGGACGAACGGGCTTGCAAGACACTCTCCAGCAGGGGCGATCTTACTGCAGGAATTGTCGTTCCTTCCCTAGTGTAGCCAGTATTGTGCTAGGACCTGACGCATGTGCCAGTTGTCAACAGAGTGCGAAGGCCCTGCTCTGTAGACGCCCATTATGCGTCTGTTCCATAAAGCGCGCGGGGTATCTCTGCGCTAGGAACTGGGCGTCAGCTCCCTCTGTGCTTCGACTTCACGCCTAAGGCTAAAACCAAAAGAAAAAGGGGGACGGGGGTTGGTGGGGCTATCCCTAAGGAGGAGGAGCAGATTTGGGGGGGTGCTGGTCTCTCTCGCCCCTCCTGACCCCTGTCTTGGGGAGTGCAGGGTCAGCTGCTGTGGCAGCCCCGAGGATAGAGGCTCTTCTGCTGTCACAAGGGAGTGGAAAGGTGAGGGCCGGCGGCGGCCTCAGCTCCATGCCCTTCAGTGCCCAGGTCCTTTCGTCTTCCTTCCGGGTCCCTTAGGATGTTGTTCTGTTCAGCTGTTCAGCTCTCCTTAGGGTCCATCATCCAATCCAAGGGGCCTGAGAAAGGGGAGCGTCAGGAAGTCCTCTTACTGAAGGGAAGGAGGAAAGAATGGCTCTGGGGGCCAGTGAGGGTCTCTCCTCACCCCATCGCTGGTCCGGGCGGCCAGTGGTGTGAGGCTCCAGCCAGAAGGGGCAGAGGACAGTGCCGCTTCACATCTTTCCCTGCTGTGTCCACCCCAGATCGCGACGTGGCAGGAGCTGAGGCAGCTGCGGGAGCAGATCAGGAGCCTGGAGGAGGAGAAGGTGGCTGTGGCCGAGTCAGTGCGGGCCCTGATGGTGAGCATGGGGGTCCTAGCTGTGTGGGCTGGGGCCAAGATGCCTCTGGCTTTTAATGAGAAACCCAACTTGAACTTGAAGGATGTGGACATTCATTACCTCGCATAACAAGCCTTCCAGGGCCAGGTGTCCCTGGGCACCTCCCAGCATCCCCAACCTAGGTTCCTTCCCTCTCACTCCGCCTGTGACTTCACTGTGGTGATTTGACCTCAGTTTCCCCTCCCGCAGTTCCAAGATGGCTGCCCTAGTACAGTGTTTCTTCCAGCGACCCTGCCAGAGGCAGAAAATGGGATTTCTCTGGCTTGAGTGCCTTTTCCAAGAGCAGGGAGATCTTCCCTGAAGCCTCCAGAAGGGTTCTCTCATTCTCAGGGACACAAAAGCCCCGCGCCCACACCCGTCTGCAGCAAGAGGCATCCTCAGCTGGGCCCACGTTCCTTGAGCTCCAGGCAGCCTGGGAGGGCCAGCTGGGCCAGGGCTCTGTGGGAAAGGAGGGAGGAGGGCAGGTGAGTTTGGATTAAACACCCAACAGCATCTCCCACAGAGGGCTGGGAAACAGTCATAAAAATAATAGCAGGCGTTTATATACCAATCACTGTGTGCCAGGCACTGTTCTAGGTGCTTCCCTTATTCTTAATTCTCACAACTCAGAGACAGGGACAGCACAAACCCAATTCTACAGCTGAGGAAGCTGAGGCCTTAAGAGGTTAAAATGTGCCTCAGTCTCACAGCCAGGAAGCTGGAGAGGCAGGATTCGCGGCCAGGCATCGGGGCTGCTTGTCACCACTCTGCCGAAGGCCTCTCGCAACACTGATTACATCTCCTAGGGACCTACTGTGTGTGAGCCGGGGCCTGGGCCACAAGCATCACGGGGCAGCCCATGAAAACAACACAGTTGGTCTCAGTTAATGGTCAGCAAGTGCCAGTGCAACTTCTCGGGGAAGCTATGCAGCCAGCCGGGGAGGTCCTGTTATTCCATTTCACAGACTTTCTGAGGCCCAGAGAGGGGAAGAGATTTGCCTAAAGGTACACAGCTGGTCAGCACCCAGCATTCAGGCCCAGGTCTCTCTGATACCCTCTTCTGCTCGGCATCAGAGAGGCCCTTGGTCACGGGCCTCCAAGTACACTCTCACAGACTATCTTGCTGAGCCTTGGTTTTCTCACTTACAAAACGGGGTCACGTTGATGCCAGCCTTGTGGAGTAGGTTATGAAGAAATAGGGTCGTGTGAGAGCCCTCTGCACAGGGCCAGGCACAGGCAATACTCAGTGAGCAGGGCGACGGGGTGATTGTTACGTTATTTTGCCGCCTCCCAGCTTTACTGACAGACACAGGCACAGTCGGGAGGGACCCAGCCAGGCATTCATAGAGCAAGGAATTCAGATCCCCTGGCCCTGTATGACCTTTCACCCTCCCTCCTCCCCACCCGCAACTTCATCAACCCAATCACCCTGTTTGTCTCTTTCCACCAGGCGAACCGAGACAACAATCAGGCGCAACAGGTACTACAGGGGTTAACGTCCTGTCCCTTGGGGGTGGGGAGGGGCAGGCAGCATATATCAGTCATGATTCCTCCGTTGTGACAGTGACAGTCATGATTCCTCCATTGTATGTGACAACTCAAACAGGAGTAAGGAAAAAAGAAAACCAGGCTCTATTGATTCATGAAACTAAAAAGCAAGCTTCAGGTACCGCTGGATCCAGGTCCTGGCTCCATATTTGGTTCTGCTTCCCTCTTATTCCCAGACCAGCTTTCTCCCCTCCGGGAAAGGGAGGCAGGGTTGGGTGCAAAGAGAACCTCTTCCCTGATAGCTCCAGCCATAGTCCTAGAGCCGATTCTGTTAAGTTTGGCTTATGTCATGTGCCTATCTTTTGAGCCAATCACTATGGCCAAGGCAATGGAATGTTCCAGTAATCCAGGCCTGAGTCATGTCCCCATGGATGTGCCTTGTAAATGTGAAGGGAGAAGGGAGGTTCCCTAAAGGAAATTAAGGATATTGAGCCAAAAGAAGAGGTAACAAATGTCTACCACAGTGGTTCTGCCAGCAAGGATCCAAGTCAGACTGGTAGAGGGACTCCCCCACCCTGTCTTGGGCTGACCCTTCTCACCCTCCCCAGGACCCCCAGTATCAGAGTCTGCGGGCACGCGGCCGGGAGATCCGGAAGCAGCTCACACTCCTGTACCCCAAGGAGGCCCTACTTGAGGAGCAGTTCTACCTGTGGGCACTAAGGCTGCCCAACCAGACCCACCCAGACGTGGTAAGCCCCGTGCTGGGCATCAGGGAGGTCAGGGGCCTGCCCAGTGCCACCTTCTTGGTGATCCTCTCTGTCTCCCTGCAGCCCGTCGGGGACGAGAGCCAGGCCCAAGTGCTACATGTGATCGGAGACAAACCAGGTGGGCCACTCTGGCTCGGGCACCCCAGGCTGGGGGTGGGGCCCCTGGGGTCTAGGGGTGTGTGGACTCCATCCCCTGCCCCTCTGGGCTCTTGCTGAGGCTCTCTGTGTGGGGCAGCTCTGTTTTCATCCACTCTCTCCCCTCATCAGGCCCTCTCACCCTGCGCCTGTGTGCCCACTAGTGTCTGTCTGTCCAACTGTCTCTGGCCCCCGTGCTTTGGCCCCACCTCTCATGGGCTTTTCCTCCCTGGCTCTCTGTGTCTCCCCTTCTCCCTGATTCTCTCTCCCTTCCACCTAGCATTTCCTTCTCTTTCCTTCTCTCTTCCTCTCCTTTCTGCTTCTGCCTCCATCTCCTTCCAGCTCCAGCTCTGCCTCCATCCTATTCCGTCCCTTTCAGTTTGTTTCTCTCTGTGTCTTTTCTTCTCCTCTCTGTCCCTTTCCCATCTTTGCCTTCTGTTCTCTCCTTTCCCTTCTTTCTGTCTTACTGCCTTTCCTTCCCACTGTCTCTAACCTCCTCTCTCTCTGTCCCGGGTCCCCACTCTCCTCCTCGTACCTCTCCCCCTCTTACCCACTGTTTCTCATCTACATCCAGCTTTCTCCTTCCAACCCCGGGGCCACCTGGAAATCGCCGAGAAACTCGACATCATCCGTCAGAAGTGAGCCCCCTCCTGGCCCCCTCCTCCCAGCCCTCCCCACCCCAACAGCTGGCTGCC